CGGGTTTAGTGTAATTTTACTGGTGTTGTATTTTCCTATACCTATACTTTATATATTATACCTGTATATAAATCGTATGTGTCCCTCCTTTACCCCCACAGCCCTAGGAAATTGAGTATGCTGGAGTATATCAACAGTTTCAGCCTCATACCCTACTGATCTACCCTCTCTCTCTCTCTCTCTCTCTCTCTCTCTCTCTCTCTCTCTCTCTCTCTCTCTCTCTCTCTCTCCCGTATCATCCCATCTGCTTTTATTGTCCACTCATATTTGTCATTCTATGCCAAGATTCATCTTTTTATTCCCACGGGTCTCGAATTACTGGAGTCTTTCATCCTGGGGAAACACCTGTCTTTCTCATATCTCTTCCCACCACCTTTATTCTCTCTCTTTATTCCTTCTCTCTTCGTTCGTTTTCTCTTCTTTGCCTCTTCCTCATTTATCATTTTCATTCTTATGTATTTCTTCCTCCTTCCCTCCTCCAACACACTCTCAATCACCATAACCAACCAACACACACTCCTCTTCTCTCTCTCTCTCTCTCTCTCCTCTCTCTCTCTCTCTCTCTCTCTCTCTCTCTCTCTCTGGGCCTGAGAGAACGTCATTAAGCTATAATGAGGTAGGGGCAGGGCAGTAGGAGTGTCGTCGGCAGTAGGAGAGTGAGGGCAGACAGTAGGAGAGTGTCGTCGGCAGTAGGAGAGTGTCGCCGGCAGTAGGAGAGTGTCGCCGGCAGTAGGAGAGTGTCGCCGGCAGTAGGAGAGTGTCGTCGGCAGTAGGAGAGTGAGGGGCAGGGCAGTAGGAGGTGTCGCCGGCAGTGGAGAGTGTCGCCGGCAGTAGGAGAGTGTCGCCGGCAGTAGGAGTGTCGCCGGAGCCCGGCAGTAGGAGGTGAGGGCGGCAGAGGAGGTCCCGCAGTAGGAAGTGTCGCCGGCAGTAGGAGAGTGTCGCCGGCAGTAGGAGTGTGCCGGCGTGGAGAGTGCGCGTAGGAGTGTCACCGGCAGGGAGTGTCGCCGCAGTAGTAGAGTGTCACGGAGGAGGTCGCCGGCAGGAGTGTCACCGGCAGTAGGAGAGTGTCACCCAGAGGGAGAGTGTCGCCGGCAGTAGGAAGTGAGGGCAGGGCAGTAGGAGGTGTCGCCGGCGTAGGGGGCAGTAGGAGATGTCGCGGAGTGTCGCCGGCAGTAGGAGGTGAGGGCAGGGCAGTAGGAGGTGTCGCCGGCAGTGGAGTGTCATCGGCAGTAGGAGAGTGTCGCCGGCACTAGGAGAGTGTCGCCGGCAGTAGGAGAGTGTCGCCGGCAGTAGGAGAGTGTCACCGACAGTGGGAGAGTGTCACCGGCAGTAGTAGAGTGTCGGCAGTAGGAGGTGTCACCGGCAGTAGGAGGTGTCGCCGGCAGTAGGAGAGTGTCGCCGGCAGTAGGAGAGTGTCACCGGCAGTAGGAGAGTGTCGCCGGCAGTAGTAAGTGTCACCGGCAGTAGGAGAGTGTCGCCGGCAGTAGGAGAGTGTCACCGGCAGTAGGAGTGTCACCGGCAGTAGGAGAGTGTCGCCGGCAGTAGGAGAGTGAGGGCAGGGCAGTGAGGAGTGTCGCCGGCAGTGGGAGGTGTCGCCGGCAGTAGGAGAGTGTCACCGGCAGTAGGAGAGTGTCGCCGGCAGTAGGAGGTGAGGACAGGGCAGTAGGAGTGTGCCGGCAGTAGGAGAGTGTCGCCGGCAGTAGGAGAGTGTCACCGGCAGTAGGAGTGTCACCGGCAGTAGGAGAGTGTCCAGCCGGCGGAGAGTGTCGCCGGCAGTAGGAGGTGAGGACAGGGCAGTAGGAGGTCACCGGCAGTAGGAGGTGTCACCGGCAGTAGGAGTGTCACCGGCAGTAGGGAGGTGTCACCGGCAGTAGGAGAGTGTCACCGGCAGTAGGAGAGTGTCGCCGGCAGTAGGAGAGTGTCATCGGCAGTAGGAGAGTGTCGCCGGCACTAGGAGAGTGTCGCCGGCAGTAGTAGAGTGTCACCGGCAGTAGGAGAGTGTCACCGGCAGTAGGAGAGTGTCGCCGGCAGTAGGAAAGTGTCGCGTAGGGAGTGTCGCCGGCAGTAGGAGAGTGTCACCGGCAGTGGGAAGTGTCACCGGCAGTAGGAGAGTGTCACCGGCAGTAGGAGAGTGTCACCGGCAGTAGGAAAGTGTCGCTGGCAGTAGTACAATCAAGCTGGGCCCCGACAATGGTCTTCATCCCCACATAAGGCCGCCCTCATATACCTTTCCTCACTCTTTTATTCTGTCTTGGTAATGTTGTCCTCTGTTGTCCTCGTCTGTGTTTGTTTTATCCTCTGTTGTCCTCGTGTGTGTTTGTTTTATCCTCCTGTCCCTCGTTGTCTGTGTTTGTTTTTTTTCCTCTTGTTCTCGTTGTGTGTTTGATTATTCTTATTTCCTTAACTTTATTGTCCCTCCTCCTCTCTCATCTCCCTCCGCCCTCATCGTCATCTCTCTCTCTGCCCTCATCATCATCTCCCTCTCCGCCCTCTCATCATCATCTCCCTCTCCGCCCTCTCATCATCCTCTCCGCTCTCTCATCCATCATTTCCCTCTCGACCTCTCATCATCATCATCTCCCTCTCCGCCCTCTCATCATCTCCCTCTCCGCTCTCATCATCATCTCCCTCTCCGCTCTCTCATCATCATTTCCCTCTCCTCCCTCTCCGCCCTCTCATCATCATCCCCCTCCGCCCTCGCTCGCCCATCTTAATCTCGTCTCGTTAAGCCCCGGGCCACGTCTTCCCAGGTGGGCGGAGAGAGAGAGAGAGAGAGAGAGAGAGAGAGAGAGAGAGAGAAGAGAGAGAGAGAGAGAGAGAGAGAGTAAAATCGCTGCTCTCCTCCCGCTCTTTGTGTGTCGGTTCTTCACGCCAACATAGGTATACAAGAGACGATGTTGTTACAGGTAGTGAGGTGCGGTGTGTCTTTCACTTTCCCTCGATCATCTTAATTGTGTCCTGGTGACGTCTTGGTGTTTCTTGAGCTGAGGTGTGTGTGTGGGGTAGGGTGCGTGTGATTGAAGGGTGTGTGGTAGGGTGCGTGTGATTGAAGGACGTGTGTGGTAGGTGCGTGTGATTGAAGGAGGTGTGTGGTAGGGTGCGTATGATTGAAGGACGTGTGTGTAGGGTGCGTGTGATTGAAGGACGTGTGTGGTAGGGTGCGTATTGAAGGACGTGTGGTAGGGTGCGTGTGATTGAAGAGGTGTGGTAGGTGCGTGTGATTGAAGGGGTGTGTGGTAGGGTGCGTATGATTGAAAGGGTGTGGTAGGGTGCGTATGATTGAAGGACGTGTGTGGTAGGGTGTGTGATTGAAGGTGTGTGTGGTAGGGTGCGTATGATTGAAGGACGTGTGTGGTAGGGTGCGTATGATTGAAGGACGTGTGTGGTAGGGTGCATGATTGGAAGGAAGGACGTGTGGTAGGGTGCGTATGATTGAAGGACGTGTGTGGTAGGGTGCGTATGATTGAAGGACCGTGTGGTAGGGTGCGTATGATTGAAGGACGTGTGGTAGGTGCGTGTGATTGAAGGACGTGTGTGGTAAGTGCGTATGATTGAAGGACTATGTGGTAGGGTGCGTATGATTGAAGGACGTGTGTGGTAGGGTGCGTATGATTGAAGGGTGTGTGGTAGGGTGCGTATGATTGAAGAGGTGTGTGGTAGGTGCGTATGATTGAAGGACGTGTGGAGGGTGCGTGTGATTGAAGGACGTGTGTGGTAGGGTGCGTATGATTGAAGGACGTGTGTGGTAGGGTGCGTGTGATTGAAGGACGTGTGGTGGGTGCGTGTGATTGAAGGACGTGTGTGGTAGGGTGCGTATGATTGAAGGACGTGTGTGGTAGGGTGCGTGTGATTGAAGGACGGTGTGGTAGGGTGCGTATGATTGAAGGACGTGTGGTGGGTGCGTATGATTGAAGGACGTGTGGTAGGGTGCGTGTGATTGAAGGACGTGTGTGTATGAAGGAACGAATTTCCATCTAAATTTCATATATTTCTGAAAAGCCGTCTTATGAAATCTTGCTCGAGTCTTTTGAGATGGTGAAAGTTTTCCTCAGAACACACTAAACTCACAGCTCCACACAACACACACACACACACACACACACTTCTATATGTTATGTATGTATGTATGTACAGGGTATGTATGTAAAATTATTATTAGCATTGTTTTGAATATAGCATTAGTGTCGGGTTGAGTTTATTATAATAATTATATATTACCTTTTCATTATATATAACTAGATATACTGTATATCACCGTAAATAATAGAGGGAATAGTGACTCACAATATCATAGGATTAATAACACAATTAATAGAGTTATAAGTAATATTAACTATGATAATGATGGTAATTTTCGGATTCAATTATATTTATATGATTTTTTTTTACATGTATAGATTCTTAGAAAGGAGTTTTATCATTTATTTTTTGGATGTGCGTGCATGAGAGGATAGCATGGCGTCGAGTTGTTGGATGATTGATTGATGGATGGATGGATGGTGTGTGTGTGTGTGTGTGTGTGTGTGTGTGTGTGTGTGTGTGTGTGTGTGTGTGAATCAATATGACTAAATTATATATACAGTCAAGACCTTATTGTTATGGTAGAAATTCTGTTTTGATTTTTGTGATGTTCTTTTGTTTGTTGTGAGTCGTGTAGGTGGTGGTTGTTAGGTGGCTCTGACGTCACAAGTTCCTGCATCAGAATCCGCGATGAAGACGGATTTAGTAACACACTCAAGCCTCGCGTTTATAGAACACCTTTTGATATATGTATTGTCCCTCTGATTATCTTTACAACTTAGATCTTTTTTTATCTTTTATTTGTGTTTTTAACTTTTTCCTTTCAATTTTTGTAAACTGTCTCTCTCTCTCTCTCTCTCTCTCTCTCTCTCTCTCTCTCTCTCTCTCTCTCTCTCTCTCTCTCTCTCTCTCTCTCTCTCTCTCTCTCTCTCTCTCTCTCTCTCTCTCACACTCACTCCCTCTCTCTCTCTCCCCCACAGCGTACTCACCGCCATTGACCACCACCCTGGCTCGGCCGCCCAAACCAGACACGGGCGGCACGGAGCTAACACGCCTACGTGACCTGAACCGACGCTACGTGAACAAGATCGCTCCTAGAGGCTACTGGAACGCCCAGTTTGAAGTGAAGCAACCCACGTTCATGAGGTAGGTGGTGGGTGGAGGGTGGAAGGGAAGGGTGGGGAGGTAATAACAGGTGGAGGGGAAGGGTGTGGAGGGTGGATGTGGGGGGAGTTGGGGAGTTGAGGAAGGTGATTGGATGAGAAGAGGTTGGAGGAGGAGGTGGAGTGGAGGGGTTTCGTGAGGTTGTAGAGAGGGAGGAGGGACGAGGGGAAAGGTAGAGGTTAGTGGAGAGGGATAAGATCAAGGGGAGGTGGTGGGGAGAGGAGAGGTTGTGGGGAGGGGAGAGGTGGGAGGTAGTCGTCAAGTGCCAGCATATCTTTCTAACAACTCAATAATGTGACAAACAAGTTTTTTTTTTATTACAGAGTAAACAAAAAATAAAAACAAATTTTAAATGACTATATTAAATTCTAGCCTTTCTTTTTTGATGTCACTGTATTTACTTAAAGGAGACAACAATAAATTATGATCTTGTAAAGTAATAGTTAATTTATGATAATATTAATCGTCAACAAATAAGTCACACTCACGACACTGTATACATTCTTCACTATGTACAATTGAGTGAATAAGCCGTGTATTGAGCTGTTATTGCTGCTAGTATCCCTGAAAACACATTTTTAACATTCCACGGGTGTTACGTATATACATTTGTAATGATAAAATGATAGATCCTATTTGGATATTATAGAAAATATATATATATCATAGTCTCCCCTCCCTTGTGTACATTTTCTTTATTAAGTGTTTATATTATTTTTGGATGATAAGCGACCCAAACACTGTTCTTTATTTAGGTATTAGAAAATGTGGTCCAGTGTAGAATCTAAGACTCAGAGTTGCTATAAGACCCCGGTGAGTGAAGCACTATAGTTGCCATAAGACCCCTGTGAGTGAAGCACTATAGTTGCCATAAGACCCTGGTGAGTGAAGCACTATAGTTGCCACAAGACCCCGGTGAGTGAAGCACTATAGTTGCCATAAGACCCTGGTGAGTGAAGCACTATAGTTGCCATAAGACCCTGGTGAGTGAAGCACTATAGTTGCTATAAGACCCCTGTGAGTGAAGCACTATAGTTGCCATAAGACCCTGGTGAGTGAAGCACTATAGTTGCCACAAGACCCCGGTGAGTGAAGCACTATAGTTGCCATAAGACCCTGGTGAGTGAAGCACTATAGTTGCCATAAGACCCCGGTGAGTGAAGCACATGAAGTATGAACAACAGTGTGTGGGATGTGTTGTTGACATAACTTTTTGTTCGTTCGCCTGTTGTTGTCTTCTGATGGTCACAATAATTATGTTCTCTTGTGAGTAGAACTTGGACACGCTTGATGGCGCTACACTCTTGACAATATTAACTTATAGATTTAATTGTTCATTTACTGACTGAATGTTCTTCAAGTTCCCTCCTCACGTTCTCTCCGGCTCACGTACAGTACTTCCCCCCACAGGTTCAACTTGACTGTGCCACGGACGGCGCACCTGGCCATCTTCGGGAGGAGGAACGTGGCGCCCACCATCACCCAGTATGACTTTGTCGAGTTCATTAAGAGCGGCCGGCCAGGACGGGCCAAGAGGGAAGCCAAGTGGGTAAGTAGTTGGGGCCAGGACGGGCCAACAGGCAGGCTTAATAGTTCAATAGGCAAATGGCACGTCAATTCGGTTAATGGTTGGCCAGGGCCACAACCAAGAAGCTGGCCACAGATGCAGGCCAAGCTCATTTATCCACAAGTGTACTTAACCCAACCGTACCATCAGTACATTCGACATTTGTACATAAACAAACGTACGTTCGTACATTCACACACGTATACATACAAACATACGGTAGAAGGGGGGAGCATCCGGTGATTGCAATAAATTACACAGTTGTTATTGCGACAAACACTAATCCCGACACTGGCAAATGACGTCCAAATGTTATTAGGGTAATGTTTGTGCTGGGGGTGATTGATGTGGCCTGTCTGGTCCACCTCCCGAACACAAACACAAAAACTGAATTTGGCTGTAATGACAAACTTTGGTATTTGTAGTGTAAACAGATAGATAAATAGATAAATACGTGTATGTATGTATGTGTACGTATAAACACACACACACACACACGTGAAATTTCCATTTATTTGACCATTTCCAGTATTTATCTCATTTATCACAAGAGTTTTTATTGTTACAAATAAATGACTAGAATAAAGGGGGGGGGGGTGAGCTGATCGATCACAACATTAGGATCTGAAACACCGTCTCTCTCCCACAGGATCCCAGAACAGGTACTAGCGAGGCAGGTGACACTCCTGAAGCGGTGACGTCGCCCTCAGACACACTACAGGACGTGATCGAGGTTTACCCTTACCTCCGTGGCCACCACCTCGACCTCGACCACGCTCTCAAGGACGATCTAGATGATCTCCTGAAGACGAAATCAGAGACGGAGGCCAAGAACACACCTGTGAGTAGTTGTGGTGTTGAGGGTCTTGTGTGAGTGTATCTGTAGGAAGTGTCTCGAGTGTATCAAGTAAGAATTCCTTCGGGTGTTGAGAAGAGTGCCTGGTTAGGTTAGATTAGGTTAGGTTAGGTTAGGTTAGATTAGGTTAGGTTAGATTAGGTTAGGTTAGGTTATCTTATAGGACGATTGGAGCTTGGGGATGGTGGGGATGATGGCAGCTGGATAGAACCTCCCCCCTCTCCCCTAATTCTCCCGAAACACCCCCTCCTAACCCCCCAACTCCCCCCTCAACCCCCCCAACTCCCCCCCTCAACCCCTACCTTCTTCCTTTCTAAAAAATTACGTAGGTCAGCGTAAAATAAATATTGGTATTCCCATTTTCTGCTTCACGTTCTTAGAAGCCAACAGAATCCGCTTATGGCTCCCCACTCCTCCGTTTTTTGTTGTGTTGGGGGAGGGAGGCGGGGAATTGAGAGGTGGGGGGTGGGGAAGGGAGGGGGTAGGTGGAGAAAGGTGGGGGAGGGAGAGAACGGAGAAGGAGGGGAGTGGGGATGAGGAGAGGAGGGGAGAGGGGCTTCTGCAGTGAATTGAGTGATTTTTATAATTGGTCAGGTCAATCGTAATCTTCCCTATAACTGAAGAAAATATATTGGTTAGGTTTTGGTTGGGTTAGGTTGTGGTTAGGTTCTGCTTAGGTTAGGTTTGGTTAGATTAGGTAAATGAGAAGAAGATACATTATACGCGATTATAGATGAGCTGCCATTATTGAACTTTGAACAAATTTTGACGTAGAGGAATAGGTTTTTGTCTAGGAGTGAACAAAATGAACACAAGATACAGTGTAAGTTCTAATTTGATAACATTGTAGGTCAAATATCCCAGAACTCATTGTAGGTCAGGTCAAATATCCCAGAACTCATTGTAGATCAGGTCAAATATCCCAGAACTCTTTGTAAGCCAGGTCAAATATCCCAGAACTCATTGTAAGCCAGGTCAAATATCCCAGAACTCATTGTAGGTCAGGTCAAATATCCCCAGAACTCATTGTAGGTCAAGTCAAATATCCCCAGAACTCATTGTACGCCAGGTCAAATATCCCAGAACTCATTGTAGGTCAGGTCAAATATCCCCAGAACTCATTGTAGATCAGGTCAAATATCCCCAGAACTCATTGTGGGTCAAGTCAAATATCCCAGAACTCATTGTAAGCCAGGTCAAATATCCCAGAACTCATTGTAGGTCAGGTCAAATATCCCAGAACTCATTGTAGGTCAAGTCAAATATCCCCAGAACTCATTGTACGCCAGGTCAAATATCCCAGAACTCATTGTAGGTCAGGTCAAATATCCCCAGAACTCATTGTAGATCAGGTCAAATATCCCCAGAACTCATTGTGGGTCAAGTCAAATATCCCCAGAACTCATTGTAAGCCAGGTCAAATATCCCAGAACTCATTGTAGATCAGGTCAAATATCCCAGAACTCATTGTAGGTCAGGTCAAATATCCCAGAACTCGACTAAAAGATCCTATGAGAGCTGCAACAATTAGATCTCTTCTATCTCTCGACAACAATCTTATTCCCAAGTGTGTGGCCTCAAAGACACTTGGCCTGAAAAACACTTGGTCTGGTATACACTTGTTTACGAGACAGAGTTGAGTGTTTGGTAGTAAGTCAAGTCTCAAGGGAGTAGGTTCCATTGTGGCCCTGGATGGCTGTGTAAATTTGAACCTTTTATGATTAAGTTAATTTTTATTCTTGAATGAACGTCTTTTGTGAGTTACGTCTTTTGTGAGTTACGTCTTGAGTGAGTTACGTCTTTTGTGAGTTACGTCTTCAGTGAGTTACGTTTTTTGTGAGTTACGTCTTGAGTGAACGTATGATTCTCTCTAAGGATTTCGTGGCTCAGGAATCACGGCTCCCAGGATTTTGTAGCTCAAGAATTACGGCTCCCAAGATTTTGTAGCTCAGGAATTACGGCTCCCAGGATTTTGTAGCTCAGGAATTACGGCTCCCAGGATTTTGTAGCTCAGGAATCGTGGCTCTTGGGATTTTATAGCTCAGGAATTACGGGTCGGGATTTTGTAGCGCGAGAAATATGCGTGAGCACCGCGGGAATTAATTGAGGAGGAAACTATTCAGAAGGGATGTACCTGGGGGCTTCCGGCTCACCCTCAACTTAAATTAAGTTAAACAGCCCCCCCAGCCCCTCCCCAAACTTTGTTAATACGTCTATGAAGAGTTGAGGCCGCATTCCACCAGCTTATGAAGGTCTTGTGGCCGCGTCGGTTTATTCCTCCTCCTACTCGACCCCCTCCTCTTCGAAGCCTCTCCTCATCCTCCTCCTCCTCCTCGACTCCCTTCTCCTCCTCTTGATCCCTCCTCCTTCTCGACCCACCAACTCTTCTCCTCGACTCTCCTCCTCCTCGACCTCCCTATCCTCATAATCCTCCTTGACCCCCTTCTCCTCACCCTCCTCCTCCCCACTGCAAGATATTAATTACATCACACGGGAAGAATGAGTGGCTGCATAGGAAGCTGTTCGCCTCACCTCCTTCAGCTCGATATTTTGAGTCTAGGAATTCCCGGATCTGTTTCTCCACTCTCGGGGTACAAACTCGGTGGACCCAAGACGCGTTGTATTAACCTGCTGGAGCTCCTGTGGCTGTGTCGCTCTGAAGAAGGCGATGCAAGTATGGACAAGAGGACAGATTCTGCTAGGAATATGGTGGAGTTAATACGAGTTGGATCAATGACGTCAAGCAAGAATGATCTGCAAGTTGTGAGGTGTAAAATGTTCTTTTGTTTTCAATTGAAGGTTTATGTAATAGTGGGAAAGTACCTGTTGTGATGTCGCCTAAAATACCTGTTTAATACTGGGTCAGTGAGCTGTTACGAAGTGTGTGTGATTTGAGGCTAAAGGTCCATGATACAGTATGTTATAGTGAGTGTAGCGACAGTAGGGTGATTTCATCTTAACTTCCTGAGCCGTGACCTACCTGTGAGAAGTTGGGATTTACTGCTGGTCATTCTGAATCATAGGTTTGACTCTCACACCACAACATAACTTCCTTCACCTCCAGGTGACTCTCCCCCTCCAGGTAGACCCTTCTCCTCCAGTTGACCCTCCTCCTCTAAGTGACTCCTCCCAGTGACCCTCCTCCAGGTGACCTCCCTCCTCCAGGTGACCTCCTCCTCCAGGATCCTCCTCCTCCAGGTGATCCTCCCTCCAGGTGACCTCCCTCCTCCAAGTGACCTCCCTCCAGGTGACCCTTCCTCCTCCAGGTGACCTCCTCCTCCAGGTGACCTCCTCCTCCAGGTAACCTCCTCCTCCAGGTGACCTCCTCCTCCAGGTGATCCTCCCTCCTCCAGGTGACCCTCCTCCTCCAAGTGACCTCCCTCCAGGTGACCCTCCCTCCTCCAAGTGACCTCCTCCAGGTGACCCTCCAGGTGACCCCTCCTCCAGGTGACCCTCCTCCAGGTGACCTCCCTCCAGGTGACCCTCCAGGTGACCCTCCTCCAGGTGACCCTCCCCCTCCCAGGTGACCCTCCCTCCTCCAGCCCTCCTCCAGGTGACCCTCCCCCCTCCTCCAGGTGACCCTCTCCCCAGGTGACTCTCCCTCCTGAGATATCTTGTAGCCTCACTCAGTAATTTATAACCTGTTGATACATAAACACCTCCGTATAGACCATCGACTCATATGTTTTGGCTTATCACTCTATTGACGTCATGGTGTTTCTATTATTGGAATTATATTTATCACACAAGACTTAATATGAATATTCCTTTCTTCTTCTTCTTCAGGAATCTTCGACGGGGCCGCAGCAGGAGGAGGAGGAGGAGGTGGTCGAGGAGCCTCTAGCACTGCCGGCACTCTCCAGGCCGCGGCTTGCACATTCGACCACGGGGTGAACGTCAGCCTGGTGGAGTACCTGGACACCGGTATGGGTACCTGGCCATCTACAACGACGGCATTGGGTGGAAGCAGGTACGTCACGGGGGTACAGAGAGGTGAGTATGAGCCAGAGAAGGAGAGGAAGATAGAGATATATTGATGATTAGTTGGAGATAGATTGACACAAAGATAGACAGTGAAGAAGTGGCAGGTCCGAGACAGTGTGTGTTGATTGTGAGTGTGGTAGAGACGGTACCGATGGTGGTGGTGTGAGTGTGGTAGAGACGGTACCGATGGTGGTGATGATGGTGGTGATGATGGTGGTGATGGTGGTGATGGTGTTAGTGGTAGTAGTGGTATGAGTGAGGGCGGCCACATAAGGCTGTTTCCTGGTCACCACCACAGCTGTGAGCTCCGACAGGTGATGGACAGGTATACGTCAGGTGTGAGCCAAATCAAGGTGAAATTAGGGCCTCACAAATTAATTAAAGACAAATATTGACATTTGTGCCAATCTCAAGTCAAAATCGTAAATTAAATCGAGGTTCTTCTTGAGTCTCCGGCCATTGTTGGGTCGAGAACATCCTACAGTGAAAGCCAATATACCAAGATACACCAAGAACTTCCGCCGAGTCTCTTATACACACAATTTATCTTAATTAAATGTCAGGTGGTGGACAGGTGCGCCACTTTTACCCCCTGAATTAGATAAGACGTGTGGTGATAACAGCCAATTAGTCGTAATAGTGATAGGTAACAGGCGTATCAGTCACTGTTCAGGAGGACAGTGTCGGACGGGGGAACTGTCGTCTTGGCAGTGTGTGTGTGTGTGTACAGGTAGATGACTGACAGGTGTTACCACTAATGAGGAAATAGTGTAACGAGTGAGAGAGAGATATATAACACAATAACTTTCCCAAGTAATTATGATTATGGAGGAGGAATTTCTATTTAATAATAATAGTCTTGACTCTAATTAGTAACTTGTTCTAATTCGAGGATGTCTCCACTATCATCATCATCATCATCATCATCATCATCATCATCATCATCATCATCATCATCATCATCATCACCACCACCACCACCACCACCACCACCACCACCACCACCACCACCACAGGTCTCCTTATTAATTGTTATTCTGGTCGTCACAGGTGGAGCTTCATCTAGGGGAGGAACCTGACCTCCAATCAGCGTGTCCCAGCGACTGTACCAACCATGGGTCATGTGTGCTTGGTCGTTGTGAGTGCCTGCAGGGATGGGTCGGCGAGACTGCTCAAATAAGTGTTCTGTAGTGTTCAGTAGTGTTCTGTAGTGTTCTGTAGTGTTCTGTAGTGTTCTATAGTGTTCAGTAGTGTTCTGTAGTGTTCAGTAGTGTTCTTTAGTGTTCTGTAGTCTTCTGTAGTCTTCTGTAGTGTTCTGTATAAGTTCTAACTCTTATGGGGGAAAAATTGGGGGAAGAAAGTGCTAAAAAATAAAATATAGTTTATATTGATGTTTGTAAAAGATTAAAACCTCTATTTAAGGGACTATATAGAGATGAATGTCCGTTATATCGAGGGTTCATTAGATGTGATTACTTGTGTGTATTGTTTCCTAATTACACACACACACACACACACACACACACACACACACACACACACACACACACACAAGAACAGGAACAAAAATAAATAAAATAATAATATTTTCATCGTCCGTAATTCTTATATACTATTTACGTTTACATATACAACTTTTCCTTGTGTTGTTGTTATTCCCAATGTTTATCAGGAAGTGGCTAGTTCCTCATACAGATGGGGAAGAAGGGAGAGAAAGAATAAATACCGTAAATAATTGTGATTAACTCGCTGTCTCCCACCCCTACCCGTCCCCCACCCGATCCCCCACCACCCGACCCCCACCACCGACCCCCACCACCGTCCCCCACCACCCGTCCCCCACCACCCGGCCCCCACCACCACCCGGCCCCCCACCACCACCCGACCCCCACCACCACCCGACCCCCACCACCACCGTCCCCTCACCACCACCCGTCCCCTCCACCACCGTCCCCCCACCACCACCCGTCCCCCTCACCACCACCGTCCCCACCACCCGTCCCCACCACCGTCCCCCCCCACCACCGTCCCCACCGTCCCCCCACCACCACCCGACCCCCACCATCCGACCCCCACCCCACCTGACCCCCACCCCACCCGACCCCCACCACCGACTCCCCGCCCCCCACTCCCCCACCACCCGACCCCCACAACCCGACCCCCACCCCACCCGTCCCACTTACGGATGGACAATTGGACATACACACAGACGCATTATTGTACATCACACCTAACAAAGCGAAGGACGCGAGGAAGAAAGAGAAGGAGGTAGAGGAGAAGGAGATGGAGGAGGAGGATGAGGTGGATGAGGAGATGGGTGAAGAGAAAGAGGTGGATGAGGAGGTGGATGGTGGTGATGTATTGTGGATGTTGTTGTGGTACTTGAACTGTGTCCTTCTTGCCCCAGTGTCAAGTGTTAGCCACCTTGTTTACTCTCTCTCTCTCTCTCTCTCTCTCTCTCTCTCTCTCACATTATAATCTTATTAATTATCTTACTTTTATCCCCTTTCATGTGTCCCTCATTCTCATCTTCCTCGTGTTTTATTTATTCTTGTCTTCCTCCTCTTACTCTTTATCTTCTCCGTCTTCTTCTTTTCTTCTTTCATTGTTATTGTTTCCTTGTGCGTCTCCAGCCATATGTGTGTTGTTGTTGTTGGCTCGTTCTTCCTCGTGTCTGTTTTATTTCCTATGTTCCTTATTCCTTCATCCAACCCCTCCTTCCCTCCCTCCCTCCTACCCCTCTTATCCCTCCCTCCTATCCTGCCTCCTCCTCCTCCCTTCTCCTCCCTCCCTCTTATCCCACCCCATTCCTCCTATCCCTGCCTACTTCCCTCTTATCCTCCCCCCTTCCTCCTATCCCTTCCTTCCTCCTCCCTCCTACCCTTCCTTCCTTCCTCCTCTCTCCTCCTTCCAAGCAACAGCATCGCCCATGGAATACCGATGCTGTGACGACGAAGGTATGTGTGTGTGTGTGTGTGTGTGTGTGTGTGTGTGTGTGTGTGTGTGTGTGTGTGTGTTGAATAATGTAGGTCCTTTGTTCAGATCAGTAGGAGTCTCTCTCCCCCTCTCTCTCTCTCTCTCTCTCCTCTCTCTCTCTCTCTCTCTCTCTCTCTCTCTCTCTCTCTCTCTCTCTCTCTTTAAACCCTTTCCCATGCCTTCTGAACCCCTAGTACTTACCAGGTACTAGTAACATCCCCAAGTACTTATTAGGTACTAGTACTCCCCTGAGTACTTACCAGGTACTAGTAACTTCCCTGAGTACTTACCAGGTATTGGGAAGGGATTGATCATGGGATAAGGTAAGGAAGGAGTTAGTAAAACCACATAACATTATAATAGTTAACGTGATATTTACCTTAAGAAATCTCACCTTGAAACCGTATGTAAATGACTAGAAATTCTTCACGTCATCATCATCATCAGTCAGCCTCATCATCATCATCATCATCAGTCACCTCATCACATCATCATTATTTTCATCATCATCATCATCATCATCATCAGTCAGCCTCATCATCATCATCATCATCAGTCAGCCTCATCATCATCATCATTATTTTCATCATCATTATCATCATCATTATTTTCATCATCATCATCATCATCATCATCGCCGCCGCCACTGCCAACCTGATGTACTCAATCGTATAATGACATTGCGACAATCAGGTTATCTTCACTAT